GGCGACGGGTCCTGCTCCGCTCCCAGCTCCCTGCCCTCCGGCTGCAGCGGGAGACGGGTCCTGCTCCGCTCCCAGCTCCCTGCCCTCCGGCTGCAGCGCGCTCCGGCCGGGATGCAGCGCGCAGGGATGCGGAGCCCGGCTGGGACGAGGTGCACGGGGCTGCTCGTGGCACCCAGGACTCTTCAAACACAGAGATTTTTTTTCTTGCTTTCAATGTTTCTCAGGCTACACATGAGAGAAGGTGTCAGCTCTGAGACGATTTTGTGCGGTTTGTGATCGCTGGGGCTTTACTGGCCGTCCCCAGAGGGACCCGGCAGACGGGTGGACACGGCGGGTGATGGAGCTGGAAGCAGGACGCGGCGCCAGGCGGATTTGCCTCCCCTCGTCCACGGCTTCCAGCGGCTCCCAGGCTGTCCCAGCTCTGCCCACGCCAGGGATGACGGAAAGAGCCAGCGGCGCCGCTGGGAGCTGCTCCGGGAAGGCTCCGCACAGCGCGGGGAGCGGGAGCCCAGGAGAAGGTGCCTGACACCGGCCGGAACGCGGCTCCGCGTCCACACGCCGCGCTCGGCCCTCCTGCGCCCGGCCACAAGCTGCCACGTGCGGCAGGGGCGAGCGCGCAGCCCGGGAGGACACGGGGGGACACGGGGGGCACATGAGGGGACATGGGGGGCACATGGGAGGCACACGGGAGCACACGGGGGCACATGGGATGCACACAAAGAGGCACACGGGATGAACATGGGAGGCACAAGGGAAGCACACGGGAGGACATGGGGGCACATGAGAGGCACATGGGAGGCACATGGGAAGCACATGTGAGCCACATGGGAAGCACAGGGGATGAACACGGGAAGCACACAGATGGTACACAGGGGAGGCACACAGGAGGCACACGGGATGAACATGGGAGGCACATGGGAGGGACAGAGGACGGTACTCAGGGGATGCACACGGGAGCACACGGAAGGACACGGGGGCATACGGGATGCACACGGGAGGACACGGGAAGCACATGGGAAGCACACGGGATGCACACAGGATGC